ACTCATAATAGAAATTACAGGTCAGCCATTAAAAAAAAAATGAAGTGCAAAAGGTCAAGAACATTAAACAACTAAAATTGTAGAGGTGGCGTTACAGGACCCCATTATTTGACATTTTCCATGTTGACTTGCAAAATCAGAATTCAACAGAAATAGTATTGATTGGATTTTTCTATTCTTGAAATCTATTTCGATATACTTTATTGAGCTGGCTGCAGTCTAAGAGAGATGAAGAATATCCTGCATTTCTTTTTTTTTATCTTTATTTTTGTTATGCATGCAAAATACTAAACATTATTCTGCATTGTTGTGTGACATAAAGCTTAATAGACAGGTCAGGGGAGAGAAAAACAGTAAGGCTTAAAGGACCACTTTAGTGCCAGGAAAACATACTCATTTTCCTGGCTCTATAGGGTCCTTGGGCCCCCTTACCCTCTGGGTGCCCCTCCCGCTGGGCTCTAGGGTGAGGAAGGGGTTAAATTCTTACCTTTCTCCAGCGCCGGGCTCCCTCGGCACTGGGGAATCTCCTCCTTCTTCTGTCGTCATCGTCTGAAAGTGAATGCGCGGCAAGAGCTGCACACGCATTCAGACAGTCTCATAGGAAAACATTCTCAATGCTTTCCTATGGACGCTGGCATCTTCTCACTGTGAAAATCGCGGTGAGAAGCGCGGAAGTGCCTCTAGCGGCTGTCAGTGAGACAGCCACTAGAGGCTGGATTAACCCATTTGTAAACATAGCAGTTTCTCTGAAACTGCTATGTTTACAGCAGGCAGGGTTAATCCTAGATAGACCTGGCACCCAGACCACTTCATTAAGCTGAAGTGGTCTGGGTGTCTATAGTGGTCCTTTATTCTGCACACTTTGTAATTAAAAATGGCACAAGAAGAAGAACTCAGTACATATGTTGGCTATCTTCACTGTGACAAGCTAAATAGTAAAGTTGAAAAATTTACCACTGGACCCGATAGCACCCTGCACAGAACAAATCAGACATGCAAGTGAGACAAATTAAAGAAAAATAAGATGAACAATGATAACACTCAGATATTAACATTGATTGCTTGAGAGGGTCAAGGTAGTGTCTTATATTGATAGATGGAACTTAGTTCATATATATATATGAAACCAGGGGGCTGCACTCACCTGAACATGCATAAATGGGGTGCTGCTGGGGGCCAATTTATACAATACACAAGATCCAGCACACTCACCTATCCACTAAACAGCAACTTCAATGTTGACACATTTTATTAGTTTGTTTAAAAACACCTAATCAAGGCAAAAATAATAGGGTTTTAGTTACAATATATGATTTTTTTTTTTTAAATAACCCCTACCCTCTCTCCACATATACTTACCGATCACCACTGTTCCACCGCTGGCGATCTGTCTTCTTTTTAGGGGGGACTGTCTGAGCTCAGCCCAATTAAGGACCCCTAGGTCCATGTGACTGCTCTAAAAGCCCTGGACTTACCTGGACTGGCGATCACTGTCAGGGGGGGGGGACTGCCTGAGATCCCAGCAGTCCCTCTGCAGCAGCTCCGGCCACCCCAGCCTTCCAGGATCATGTGATCACCATGATCACATCGCTGCAATAGGAGTCTGGAGCTGCCAGCAGCTGTCAGGCAGTCCCCCAGGCTGCTAAAAAGTAAAAAAATAATAATAATAATTAGACATATGTATGTATAATATATTATAAAATAATTAAAGCATTTTATAATCTATTATACATATATAAAGCTTAATAGATATATATATCTCAAAATACACTTATAATGAAACCATATATATGCATTATATATGTATAATAGATTATAAAATGCTTTAATTATAATATATTATACATATATAGGAAATAAAAGTGTGTGTGTGTGTGTATGTATATATATATATATATATATATATATATGTGTGTGTGGGTTTATATATACAAAACCAAGAGGGCTGCATACATTATAGGGTGCTGCTGGGGCCAAAATATACAAAAATACAGAATCCAGCGCACTCGCTTATAAGCGCACTGAAGCATAAACTATTACAATCTCTAAGATTTTAAATCATTGTTTAGTGAATAAGCGAGTGCTCTGGACTCTGTATTTTTGTATAATTTGGCCCCAGCAGCACCCTATAATGTATGCATGTTCAGGTGAGTGCAGCCCTCTTGGTTTTGTTTGTATATTTGCGAGTCCAGGCCAACTCCTTGGTTTTGCACCCCTCCCTGTCACTGGTGCCTCATACCAGGACAGTATTTAGCCTTGTACTGCAGAGAGTCTGAGTAAGGAAGTATTTCCCAAGTAAGTGGACTAATTTCAAGCATTAGGCTGCTACTAGGATAGGACCTGCCGAATATGAGGTACTTTGACGTAGTTGGCAGGCTTATGCAATGTATGATCATATACTGTAACTAAACCCCTATCAATTTTTGCCTAGGTGAGGTGTTTTTAAATAAAACTATTACAATCTCTAAGATTTGAAATCATTGTTTGGTGAATAAGCGAGTGCGCTGGATTCTGAATTTTTATATATATATATATATATATATATATATATGTATGTATATATATTTTATAAATTTGAAAAAAAAAATTTATAAAAAAAAAAACCAAATAAAAACGCTAACTTTGGCCACCGTTTGTGACTAAGTGGATACTACAAAAGACTTGAAATACCCTGGGATATCTACATTTGTAGATATGGTATGCCATGATGGGGTTATTTCACATTCCTGAGCTACCATATGGTCTCAAAAGGCAACACAGATGCAGCAAACCATTCTGGCAAACTGAATTGGGCAAGCGCTATATTGACCCTGTAACTTTCCAAAAGACCATAAAACCTGTACATGGGGGTTATTGTTATACTCGGGAGACTTCGCTAAACACAAATATGAGTGTCTGAAACAGTAAAACATATCACGACTAGAGTTGAGCGAACCCGAACCGCAAAGTTCGGGTTCGTACCGAACATTAAGTTTTTTTGGACCCCGGACCCGAACACGGACATATCACTGTATGTTCGGGTTGGAGTTGGGTGTTCAGCGATTTAATGGCGCATTTTTAAAGGCTGCAGGGCAGCCAATCAACAAGCGTTTGACTTGTTTGCCCTTAGAAGCCATCACAACCGTGCCTACTAATGGCATGGCTGTGATTGGCCAGTGCAGCATGTGACACAGGCTCTATATATAAGCTGGAGTCGCGTAGCGCCGCACGCACATGAGCTCTTATTAGTGTAGGGAGAGGATGCTGCAGCTGTTAGGGACAGATTAGGAAAGAATTCTGCAAACTAGTACATTAGTGGGGTGCACTTCATATCTGAGAGTCAAATAGAATCGTCAAATAGTGAGGTTACAGCGTAATTGTAAACATTCTTATTTTCTGGGAGCTAATATGCTAAATAGTAAATTTTGGGCGTGCTCTTCATATCTGAGAGTCAAATAAAAGCATCGAATACTGCGGTTACAGCGCACTTTGACAAATTCCCATTTTTTTGCTCCTAAGAAGTACATTTTGGGCGTGCTCTTCATATCTGAGCGTCAAATAGAACCGTCAAATAGTGCTGTGACATAACAGTTTTAAGCATTCAAATTTTTGGGCTGCTAAATGGTACATTTGCGGCCTGCGGTGCACTTCATATCTGAGAGTCAAATAGAACCGTCAAATACTGTGCTTTCAGCGCAGTTTGACCAATTCAAATTTTTTTTTGGGTGCTAAAGAGTACATTTGCGGCCTGCACTTCATATTTGACAGTCAAATAGAACTATCAAATACCAATATAACAATATTGTAATTCGGGGGCAATACCCTCACAAGTCAAACTGAGAGGTCAGTTTATTGGGAAAACTGTTGCATGGATACAATTCTAAAACCATTCCCATATGTCCTTTGTAGACTCTACATGCTGGAAAAACACAGGTGCCAACTGCTGTGGCTTTCTGCAGTGTGCAGATCAGCAAGAAGGGCAGGGTTGAGGAGTGGGTGGAAGATGATGTGGAGGATGATGAGATCCCACATGGAATCAAGGTCATGCAAGTGAAGTGTGCAGTTTGGAGGAAGAGGCGGTGGTCGCATAGAGGCACCAGCACAGCATAAGAGGGAGCAGGGTGCAAAAGTGGAGTGGCCGTCCCCTAGAGCTTGTCGCATAGAGGCACCAGCACAGCATAAGAGGGAGCAGGGTGCAAAAGTGGAGCGGCCGTCCCCTAGAGCTTGTCGGACAAGCTCTAGGGGACGGCCGCTCCACTTTTGCACCCTGCTCCCTCTTATGCTGTGCTGGTGCCTCTATGCGACCACCGCCTCTTCCTCCAAACTGCACACTTCACTTGCATGACTTTGATTCCATGTGGGATCTCATCATCTTTAGAATTCCCACAGTTATCCAAGTAACAGTTGAAGCGATAAAAAGAACCATAACAGATTTAACGAGCCATTCACAGTTTCGCAGTCCAGTGACCGGGACCCAGACACTGTCTGGGCGGCGGTCGGACGACCGGGACCCAGTATGCTTGAAGTTGAAGTTAGGAGTCACAGTGTGGAATGGATTAGCAGGGTCTGGTGCAGGGTAATCGCACGCCCCCTGGTGTTGAGCACCAGAGTTTGTGCGGCCACATACCAAGACCCTGATGCAGCTTCAGTAAAAAGAGTACTGGATACCAGAAGCCATCACCAGACCGATCTGCAACTTGGAACAGGATGTGACATTCACTGTAGCGGCTGTGCGCGCTTTCGGCGTTCTCACCCTGCTGTTGCTCGCCTGTCTGCACTGCTGCGTAACTTTGGCCTTCCCGCTCACCACCTCATATGCAACGTGCCCACAAGGTGGAACTCCACCTTGCACAAGCTGGAGAGATTGTGTGAGCAGCAGCAGGCGATAGTGGAGTTTCAGCTGCAGCACGCACGGGTCAGTCGCTCTGCACCAGACTTGCCCTCCAATTGATCAGAGTTAAAGGATTTCAAGTGGACTCATTACAATTACAGGGACTCTAAAGAGTCCTGTATTGTTATTTGTCGTCACTACCTTCCCGCGTCGGGAGTGGGTCATTTGCGTGCCTGCTGCCTTGCATGTGGTAGTCGTTTCTCAGACTCCCTCTCCGGAAAAATCCTGATTCCCCATTACCCGTGGTCACCATGGTAGGCGCAGTAAATGACATTGAAAGTTGATATGGATGACATACGAATGCGTCATCGCCTTGTCGTTGGGGAGTAGTGATGTCCCGAACGGTTCGCCACGGACGGCGAACATAAACATAAACTTTGACCCTGTACCTCACAGTCAGCAGACACATTCCAGCCAATCAGCAGCAGACCCTCCCTCCCAAACCCTCCCACCTCCTGGACAGCTCACTAAGAATGCAGCTTCACAATTAATGTAAAATGGGAGGGTCTGCTGCTGATTGGCTGGAATGTGTCTGCTGACTGTGAGGTACAGGGTCAAAGTTTATGTTTATGTTCGCCATCAGTGGCGAACCGTTCGCCGAACCGTTCGGGACATCACTGTTGGGGAGCCCATTGAAAAACTGCTCTAGCATGATGAGCTGGGTGATCTCCTCCGGGAACTTGGCTTGATGGGAGTTGAGCCAGTTCTGGGTGGCCCTTGTGATGCTGCATGCCCACTCCGCATGGGAGTCCTTCTCCCCTTTCCGGGTCTCCCTAAACATTTGGCGGTATTGCTCGGGGGTGACCGCATACCAGGCCAGGAGGATTTGGGTAATAAAGGGATAGTCTCTGATCTGCTCTTCTGGTACAGCCCGGTAAATATCCGCTGCCTTCCCCACTAGTTTGCTGGCCAGGATGGTGACCCAGTCGCTGGGGTCCACGTCTTGGAGTAGGCACTGGCGCTCAAAGTCTTGTAAAAAGTCATCGATGCCTTCTTCTGCTTCCTTGAACTCTTTGAAGGCATTGTATGGTAGCTTGTGGGGCAGGGTGGTTGTGCTTCCCTGCGCCCTCTGCTCCCTTCTTCCTTCATCTGGGTTCATGGAGGTCGCCCTCAGTCTATTGGCAAGGACATAGGCTTGCACCTCCAAAAAGGTCCTGCTGACAATCTCCTCTGAGGGTGGCTCTCGGTAATATGCCAGGCGCCGTTACACCTTCTTGTGCACTTCCTCCTCATCTCTGGCCCCTGGCTGGGGTTTGCTGCCTCACTGCATGCCTGGTCATCCTCCATGAGCGCAGCAGTCAATTCTGCCTTGTTACGCCCACCAGGCGTTATTCCACTGGCTCCACACAAGTCCTGCAGGTCGCTTTAGAGCACTGTACTCCATGGGTCTGTTGGCAGGGACATGGGATCCCGCCGCTTGCCACCAATTGAAGCGGGACCTGGGTAACCGATGGTAATCCCCTTTGATTAGAATAGGTCAGACCCATTTCCCCAGTAACCAGATGGGACACAGTTCCAGAATACAACGTTTGACAATCTTTATTTGGGTACACAGCTTTGCCTCTTGTTGCCTCCTCCTACTCAGCTTCTTCCTCCTCCTCCTCCTCCTCCTCCTCCTCCTCCACCACCTCCTCATCCGGTCAGCGTAACACCTTCACCACGAACTTCAGCACAGCCAAGGGGAAACGACAGCAGGCTGTTTTCAAACGCATATGTTTGGGGGAAAAACTCCACACCGCGCAGGAGCTGCGGACGGGCATGGAACAACAGACCAATGAGTGGTTGTTGCCACTAAGCCTCAAGCCCGGCCTGGTGGTGTGCGATAATGGGCAAAATCTCGTAGCAGCTGTGGGCCTAGCCGGTTTGACGCACATCCCTTGCCTGGCGCATGTGCTGAATTTGGTGGTGCAGAAATTCCTGAAAAACTACCCAGATATATCAGAGCTGCTGCAGAAAGTGCTAGCCGTCTGTGCGCGCTTTTGGCGTTCTCACCCTGCTGCTGCTCGCCTGTCTGTGGTGCATCGTAACTTCAGCCTTCCCGCTCACCATCTCATCAGACTGTGCGAGCAGCAGCAGGCGATAGTGGATTTTCAGCTGCAGCACACAGGGGTCAGTCACTCTGTGGAACAGTTTTCTTTTTTATATGTCCCAATATTTGGGGTACTACCCCAATTAAAAAAAAACAAATAAAAAAAACAGTGTTGGCTACCTCCTCCACCGCCGCATCCACCTACACCGCCTCCTCAACCTATGGGTCACTTAATATAAACTATGTACACAATAGCAGAGGCTTGTGAAGGTCTTTTCTCCATGCATCAGGAGTTGAGCTCAGTTTGAACAATGAAAGAGAATACCCTGCACTCCAGCCCTCTCTCAAATGGATAATTCTGGTGATCCTCCTGACAGCCATGCTTTAGATTTTGATTTATGTTCTTCTAAAGCTAAAATCAAAGATTCCATCTAGTGCTATTTTATGGCTCAGCTGTATTTTTAATTTTTATGTTATTTTAAGTGATTTCCCTATCCACATTTGTTTGCAGGGCACTTGTCCTACTCTTACCCCCATTTTACTTCCTTTTGCAGCCCTCTAGCCCTTTCCAGGATTTTTTTAGACGCATTTTTCTGCCCAAAAGTTCGGGTCCCTATTGACTTCAATGGGGTTCGGGGTCAAGTTCGAACCCGGACTTTTCTTCAAAGTTCGGCTGAACCTGCCGGACCCGAACATCTAGGTGTCCGCTCAACTCTAATCACGACTATGAAATCACCAGTAAAAGTGCAGTTTTTGTGTAAAAAAAAAAATGCAGAAAACAAATATGATCGCTAACTTTGGCTAAGTGGCTACTACAAAAGACTGGACATACCACATTTTGAATACCGTGGGTTTTGTGCTTTTACAAATGGTATGCCATCATGGGGTTCATTTTCATTCCTGGGCTGCTATATGGTCTCAAAGGCGACATAGGCCCAGCAAACCAATCTGGCAAATTTCAACATGCAAACATGGAAAAGGGGAAAGCCCTACATTTGACCCCTGTAAGTTTGCAAAAGCCCATAAAACCTGTACATTGGGGGCACTGTTGTACTCGGGAGATGTTGCTGAACACATATTGGGGAGTTCTTTGTCAGTAACACATAACAGGAACTGAGAATCTATGCCTAAAGTACAATGTGAGAGAAAAATAACACACAAAAATGACTACCCAAAAGTTTGACAAAGACTGGCGGTAGAATTAGTGCATGGAAAGTGTTAAAATACCACCATTTGAAATACCCTAGGGTCTCTACTTTTCAAAAATATTTTGAAAAGTAGATAAATTACATTGGCCAGCTTCAAAAATGTCCCAAATAGGACATGGGTGCATGATGACCATCTGTGAAAATTCCAAGTTGGAAAACTGGAATGCGCACCCTCCAAATAAGATCTTTTAGCTCCCAGAGAACCCAACACACCCATACATGGGTGATATCAATGTACTCAGAAGATGATGCTTGGCAGTAACCCTTAAAGTTTTCCGTACATGTATTCTTAAATTGCTATGTGTGTCAAAAAAAATCACCAATTATGTCTTTTACATTTGGCATAGATTGGTGGTAAAATGGTTGCATGAAAAGAGTCAATATACCCCAAGTTTAATACCTTAGGTTGTCTTATTTTATAAAATATACACATGTGAAGGGTTATTCGGGGATTCCTGACAGATATCAGTGTTACAATGTAACGTGTTAATTTTGAAAAAAAAAATGGTTTTGAAATACTTGTACTTATAGCCCTATAACTATATATTTCTAAACTCAGGACAAAATTTAGAAACTATTTAGCATGGGTGTTTTATGGCGGTTGTAGATACGTAACAGATTTTGGGGGTCAAATTTAGAAAACGTGTGGGGTTTTTTTTCATCATATTTTAAAAACAATCTTATAGTAAATTAGATGATATAATGGTATCTTTAGAAAGACCCTTTTTTGCCATTAAATGGTCATGTAATATGTGTGGGTACAGTAAATCAGTAAGAGGAAATTACAGCTAAACATAAACAATGCAGAAATCTAAAAAGAGCCTTGGTCCCTAACGGTAAGAAAATTGAAAAAAATGGTCTGGTCACTAAGGGATTAAAACCCTATTGGCGCCAAAAATTCTAAATTGGGGACCCCAATTTACTTTATTGTCCAATCGGGAGTCTCCTCCTTCCTTTACACCTCTCGCGGTCGCCATATTGGTGCTCACGAGGGTTCGCAACGTAACATCCGGTTGTGGCTGTTATTTGTTCCAGAGGTCATTTTATGCATTCCGTTGACTGTTATGTGTTCCAGTGGAAATCTTACGTGTTCCACTGATGCTGTATTTCCTGGTTTAAGTGCATTTGTCATTGTGAATCATTCCCATTCCTTGAGGCTCCTTATTCACTTACCCCATTAAGTGTATTTCTATACCATGACACCTACATAAGTCCAAAAAGGCAATTAGAGAGTCCTCAGTCCATTACATTTAAAGGCACATTGCGCATATAAAACATGGATAAAATGAAGAAACCATTATAATAAGCATATCTCGTAGTGCAAAAATAATACAAATGTGTATATATAAATTGCACTTTTAATTGAATAAACTTGTATACTAAAGTGCTCTTCTTTAATATAGTTACACATATCAAAATCTGTATTTAAACCATATAGAGACAGGGTTTCTAAATTGAAGATCCATTTCATTTCTGTTTTATTTACGATCTCCATATCAATAAAGTGCAATAACTTAAAATCACAATTATGGGCTTTTGTAAAATGAGCAGATACTGAATGTGTTAAAACCTTATTAAGGATATTCCTTAGATGTTCACTAAGTCTCACCTTTAGTGGCCTGGCAGTTCTCCTCACATATTGGAGACCACATTCACACATTAATATATATATAAACGTTACTTGTACTACATGTAATAAAATCATTAATAAAATACTTTCTCTTTGAAACATTGGAAAAAAAAATGTTTTTGTTTTTTTAGAGATACCATTAGTGGTTTTGCACGCCTTGCATTGACCACAATTATAGAATCCTTTTAATTTAGTACCAGAAATATTTGCATGAAGCATTTCTTTTTTGGGATGCAACTTTTTGTTAAAATATTTTTTAAATTGCTCACTCTGTAAACAATCTTTGTTTATCTCCAATATACATATTCAAGTCCTCATTTTGTTTTAAAATACTTTTAAAAGGATGAATGTGAGAACTAAAATTCCTTCTTACAGTTTCTCTTTAACCTTGTAAATTGCGTCCATCAAGTTCAGCCTTCCTCACAAATGTTGTTGCTGTTGATCCAAAAGAAGGCAAAGGACCTGGTCTGAAGTGCTTCCAATTTTGTCACAAACTAGGAAAAAATTCCTTCTTG